GAAGTACCGAGGGCTGCACGGCAACGCTGCGCACGGCCCGCAGCCAACGGGGCGATCCCAGTGCTACAAAGTAGCACAGGGCACACAAGAGAGGCCACGGTGGAGCCTCAGTCAGCCACAAGTTGGTGCGCCCTGGCAGTTATTAGTGTTGGCGCGGCGCTGACGCAGCGCACCATGTCAGAGCAGGCGTGCAGCCACTCACTCACTCATTCACTCGCCCGAGCCTTGGAGCCCTGGGGCCTCAGAGCCATTCAGTCTCGCGAGGGAAAAGCTCGGACGGGAGCGCACGAACCGCCCCGCCCCATTGGCTGCCGTCCACCGCGGGGCCAAACAGCTGAGACTCGACTTCTGGCGGTGGGCCCACAGGCGGCGGCGGCGGCACCTCCACGTTGGTCAGCGCCGCGGGTGCAGGTGGTGGCGGCGGCGGTGGGCCCACCACCCCTGCATCACTCATCCGAAGGTCCTCCTGCGGCCCGCCAGCGGGGGTAGCACCCAGGGTTGCCCCTGCACCCCCCCCCGCTGGCAAGGCTGCAGACGTAAAGCTTGTGACGCTGCTCGTAGCTCAGTATCGCCACCGTCGCGTCATCGAGCTTCTCGCGCTTCTTCCTGTTCCTGGCCTTCCTGCTGTAGCCCGCCCGCGCAGGGTCATTGAGCCCCCATGCTATCTGCGAGCATATGTCGCACCAGTCGAACTCAGGTATCTCATCCCGCGTCATGTCGTTCATCAATACCCAATGTCCCTCCCGTTGCTCCTGATCCGAGTATTTCCTGAGCACCGTGCCCACTGCCAGGGGTTCTACTTGCGGAAGGTGTTGCAACACATCCGCGGGATTGATCACCGCGATGCCGTCCTTCTTGAGTTTGTCCGCCCGAAGCAGGGTTCTCAGGTCCCTGATGTCCTCCTCGGGGAACTTGGCCTGTAGGCGCTACGCCTTCGGTGGCTTGGCTGCGCGGCCAATCGTCTCGACGCACACGCCGGAGGTCGTCGTGTATCGAGCTCCGCAGTGGCAGTGCCATCGCTGGCCACTTCGGCCCCCCGCCTCGCCTTCGAGGGGGAGGGGCTGTGTCCAACGGTCCGCGCGGATCACGGCCCTGCACCCTCCTGGGTTGCCCCAGGTTTTCTTTGCACTGCACTTGCAGTAGATGTTCATCGTGAACTGGTCGTCCGAGAAGAACTGGTCGGAG